TAGGGAAAAGGGTTTTTTTTTGTTTTGTTTTTTTAAACCTAATTGAATTTTGGTCTGTGTTTTATTACAATGATTTCAGTTGGGTTTTTTTTTATATAGGTTTGAGGTATAATGCAACTTTAATTTTTAGAACTTTTCTGAAGGGTAGGAACACTTTATACACTGGAAAAGATGGTAGCTCGTGTAGGAGGAACGTGATTTATATGTTGTCTGTTGTTTAGGTTTTTAGGCATGTAAGTGAACTTGGGCACCTAAGTGAGCTCCTATTTTATCCCACTCGATTCCCTGAAAAATAAATAAGGCCAAAGGTAGGTAGGTGGGTGGGTCCTCCTCTTCCCCCGTACTTTCTTGGGCTCAGTCTGAAAGGTAAGATCGTGGCATGCCACAAAAGTGGAGGCATGGATGGATTTTCAGGGACCTGAACTTGGTGGAATAGAACCGTATTTAAATCCATTTAGACACCCAATAGGTGGAATAGGATGTGGCCCTAGAGTTTCAGTCCAGGTTTGAAAGCGCTCGCCCTGAAAGGTGTTGCTCTGGGGTTTGGCACTTACTGGCAAGGCCTAAGCTGCCTCTCTATCCTGGGAAAGCAAGGGAGCCAAAATGTCTCCCTGAGGCAGAGCTCGCTCCCCAAAAGGCAGCACTCGGGTAACAGATTTTCATTGCTGGGACCGTGCTTCTCTTCTCCTTGAGCTCCTGCTCACGGCTCCAGCGATGGTTTGGGTGTGAATGCTGAGGCAGGCTCATTGAGGTTGCCTCCTGACTTTTCCCTTGCATGCCATTTATCACAGTAGGTATCTTTGGTAGTCTTTCTGTTGCAGGCAGATTTTGCAAAGCAATTAAGGCACCTGGCCCCCTGGGGGCTTTTCTAGAGAAGCCATAATACACTCAGTGATGGCTTTCCATGCACTGCTTCTCTTCCTCGTAGATTTGTAGAAGCCCCTTGGTTAGGATTAGCTCCTTTTGCTGTGCTCTGGCAGCTGTCTGTGTGCCGGTAGGTATAGTCTTTTCCCAGCATTGGCTTGTGGGTCTCTCTCCTCATCATTGAGTTACTCTAGCTGCTACTTGTTCTGCATTTTCCTGTTGACTTCATGGTCCAGTGCACCTAGCAGAGGTGTTTCTGGTTTCCCCACCCTTCTTTCTGCTGCCGGGTCTAGTCTTCTCTCAGTGCTGTTTGCTCAGTAGATTGAATTCTCAAGAAGAAAATTGAATCCCCTTAAGTTGTGGTTCATTGTACGAACTTTCCCTTCCATACCAGGATATAATTGAGGCTGGTCCTGCTTTGAGCAGGGAGTTGGACTACATGACCTCCTGAGGTCCCTTCCAACCCTCATGATCTATGATTCTATAATTCACCGCGTTGGGCTCTGAGTTTCCATATTTTATTATTGGTTTTCGTACTTGGCCTACACCCTCACTCGGTTCCTCCATTCCGATAAGAAAAGGATCTCTGAAGCCCTTTAACAGCTGAAGGGAGTCGTGGGTGGGAGAGGTCTGGAAGGAAGACGTGAGGCTTGGAGGAGATGCTAGCAGCGGTGGGTGGCTAGTGTCCATCACAGCTCAGCTGCTGGGCATTTGTTCAGCACCTACCTCTGCACTGTTGAAATGGTGACAAATGTCTGTTTGTCCACGTTCACGGATGGCAGCAGGTGAAGTGGAAGATGATGAATAAGGGCAGCGCCAAGTGTACTGGAAGCCTTAGATACATGGGAGAAGTGAATTCAGTCTCTCTTCGAATGCAAAGCCCCATTTGCAGAAGGCTTCCCAGACAGCCCCTGTGTCAGTTTTGGCTCTGCTCTGCCATGAATCATTCCTTTTAATGAATCGGGAGATTTCTGCTTACATTTTTGCGGCTTTGACCCTTTGCTCAGCAGCTATTTGTTTAGGATGAGCACTGAAACTTTGCTCAGTCCTCCTATTGATTGTATAGGGCTTGAAATTACTGCATTGAGAAGGCGAAAGAGCCGCCAGCTTTGAGAGAGAGGAAAATATTGACTTTCCCCAGCCCAGTTCTCAGAATTATTTGGAAATGGAAAAATTAGATAAATTGTGATTAATTTAATTTTTTTTTTTTTTTTTTTTAAACAGTCATTTTTCTTTGCTTCCCTCTAAACACCTTCTCTTTATCCTCTGACTCTTGCAGGCAATACTTAAAGCAGGAAAGTCTGGACAAAAAACGGAAAGAATTTGATGATAATGGCTGGCTTCAGCTGTGCAAGAAGAGCCAGGTGAGTCGGTTCCACTGTGCTTTGAGAAGAGCTCATAGAAAGGAGAGATGGATAACATCCATCATGACTGACTCAGGGCATTTCCCAGTGTTGGTCTCCCAGCGTCCCTTGAAAGTTGTCTGATGGAGCTGCTTTCCTCTCAAATATATTAGCAGCAGTTGTCACCTCCAAGAGGATTTCACTTCATGATGGGGTATGTGGTCCATGCACACAGTATTATCCCTCTAGAGCAGGGGCCAGCAACCATGGGGCCATTGGATCCAGGTCACAAAACTAGTGAGGGTTTTGCTAATTCTGCAGTTAGGAAAAGCAACTGCAGTGACCAAGTCCTAGCACTGACCCACCTTGGATCCGAGCTGAGTTGTTCCAGACCACTGCTAAAACCTGTTGCTGACCATTGCCCTGAAGAGAGGATAGCTTTGTGATTCAGGGACTGGCTCGGGAAGAACCCGGGCTTGGTCCCTTGCTGTGCCACAGACTGCGTGCGACTGCAAGTCACGTTTTCCTGTTATTACAATAGAGCCCATCTCTGCCTTGCTCCTCAAGCGTGTTGTAAAAGCTAAGGACAGAGGCGTTCAGACGAGGTGTCGATTGGGATGGGGGTGGCAGGCAAGCACAGCCAGAAAGGAAACTTTCCTCACCTTGCAGAACCATTTTGGTACCACGCTTATTTTTCTGTTCTGTGTTGGGATGAAGCAGAGGCTCTTCAGAAAGTGGCACTAGACCCCCATGGTGGCCAGCAGTCTGGCGGTGAAGTTGCTCCCATGGGAAGAAGCTGGATGCCGAGCTTCATGTCCCAGTTCTGAATTTGTCAGAGCAGTGGGTTTGCACCTGGTGAGGACCTGGACCATTGGGCTATTGGCTTATTCCATAGAAAATGTTTTCCTCATTCTTGTTTTGACCAGGAATTCCCTCCTGGGCCTCTCAATCTGCCTTTTCTGTTGAACATTTGATTGAACTAGGGATCTTCTAAGGATAAGCTTTGCTTTTTAATGATGGAAAAAGCACTCCATTGAAAACGTTCCCAGCCAGCTCTGTCTGGAAGCAGCTAGATGGACGCTTTCACAAGAGTGTGGGATACATCACAGAATATCTCTGCCCCAGTTGCCTTCCTCCCCATTTGACTAGGCAGCTACTGGTCCAGCTCTTTAGAAGGTCTGTCTTGTCACAGCACCTGAAATCCCCAGAAATGGAGAGGCATCTTTGGCTCCCTCAGGACTCTTTGTATTTGGGGGAAATCATGAAGGCTCACATGAAAGGTCTGTTGTTGCCTCTGTGTAGCAATCTGGGTTTGTTTCTGTTTCATAAGGAAATCCCTCAACAGATGAATGGCAGTGACTGCGGCATGTTTGCCTGCAAGTATGCCGACTGCATCACCAAAGACAAACCCATCAACTTCACTCAGGTAAGCTGCCCACAGGTGTCCTGTGAGAGCCAGGCTGGGGTCTTCCGCCATGGCAAGCTGCCTGTTCATGGGGCAACATCGTGAGGGTCTGTCCTGCTCCCCGCATTGCAATTCAATACTAAATATTTGTGTCTACTTCCCCCATTGCCCGCATCTTAGTTCATTGCACATCCATTCTCTGGAACCTCCAGTTTTTCCAAGTAGCTTTTGCTATATCAAGAGTTGCTCCTGTAGTGTCTTCCTACTGGCCTGCTTGTCATTAGCTGCGTTAATCTCCCTGTGTGCGATCAAATTTACCTCTCTGCAGGGATATCCCTTTCGGAATAGGCTGTCGCTGGGATTTGCTTGAAACCAGGATTTCTCCTGGTCGTGCCAAAGCGTGCCACCATCTGACTCCACCACATTGCTGTGTTTGCTTTTCAAGGGTTGATAGTTAAAAGTACCATAAGGAACAGAAAAGAATTGAGCTATCACATGATGAGATCTCTCATGTGCTGGAGAGAGGATTGTGGCAGGGGCTTTCGAATGAGGCGTTACAGCCCAATTATTCCCTGAATGCCAAAAGGCATTGTGTTCCCAGCGTCCTCGGGTGGCTTGTAACACCCCCGGCTCCATCCATAGAGGTTTCAGTCCTAGAGGCTGGAAATGGAGGAAGTGTGAAATGATCCCATCATGCTGATTTGTCCAGTTTGAAATGATTCCCAGAGAAATCGGGTGCTTTTCCCCCTTCTGATTTGGGCTGGGAGCATTCGGGCAGTGGGGGCTCTCTGGTTATCTGGTGTAGAAACCCAAGCTAGCCCAAAGCAAAGGGCGTTAATGTGTTCTTTTCTCTCTCCTCTTCCCTCGTGCCCAAAGCAACACATGCCCTACTTCCGGAAGAGAATGGCCTGGGAGATCCTACACCGCAAACTCCTCTGATGACCTCGCATCAAGAGGCAGCTCCCTGGGAGTTCATATCGGAAATGCTCAGACTTGCCCCCTTCAGCATTCTCAGCTTTCGCCGACACTTACACGGGTTTTTAATCAGAGACATCTTAAAGGACTCAGTATGGTATTTTTGTAACCTCCATTCATGGACCAATGTGCAATGGAGACTTTCAGAAGCACACTTGCCTTTTTCTTTTCTTTTCTTGTTTTTCATTCTGAAACAGATTTTTTTAATAAGCAATTGCCAGTGCTGTGACTGAGTGGGCAGCTTGGGGAACCTTCAAGGACCTTCTCTGCTATTTTAAGATCTCTCGCTGTCAGTCTCAAAGGGCTGACTGCTTTGCTTCACAGGGATTTCAGGGAAGGGAAAAGCATTTACGTGGATCTCAACATTCCCACATGTGGGAAATCCTCAGCTTTGAATGTCTAGCGAGCTGGGCAGTTGCACAGTGGGTGCAGGGGTGATTAAGGGGGGTAGGTTTTCAATATGTGGAGATGGCTTATCCTTAAGTACAGGAGGAAGCCCTATTAGAAGCCAGCACACTGAGCAGGTGCTCTGTGGCCACTAAATGGCTAGGCTGGTAGAACCGAAAGAAAAAAAAAAAATAGCATTCAAGGTTGGTCACAAAGGTGACTGGCATAAGGAGCTTCTGGGTTTTCTCTGTCCGTCCCCTCAGGTGACTCCCGTGTTCCTTCCTCTCTGTTTCCAAGCCAGCATTCTCTTTTTCTAATCATGAGCTCAGCCTCTTATCACCACCAGGGACAATCCTGCAATCAGGACCTGCCTCTTAATTGCATCCATAGTGCCCAAGGCAGAACAGAATACCCCTCTGTTGTCTGGCAGCGTTGAGAGAGAAACCTGAGTGTGCAGGTGACGTTTTGAGAGCCAAGTAAGATCCCTGAGAATGGATCTGTTTGGATTGGGTGCGGCTTTGGCAAAATCGCTCCCCTCCCCCCCCCCCCCCCCCCGACCAAAGGGAAAACGGACACCTCCCAGTTTTAGCAGCAAACGTTCATGGAATTCGGGTACGGCCACATCTTGCCATGGGTTCATATAGTGTCCCGGCTAAGGGGAATTGTCAGGCATGCTTTGGAGCACTTACCAAAGCAACAAAGAACACACCGTTGCAACACGTGTCTTACTCTGTGCCTGTGTTCCTGTTTCCTTGATGTAAATTCCTACCAAAAGCCAAAGGACTTGGTTCTCTCCTGATGCTTTTCCTTGTGCAGGCAGCTTCAACTGAGCAGCAAGGGGTGTCGAGTCCTCCCAAATAGGTAACCCCCACACCCCGACACTTCTCAGTATGGTTTTGCACATGCTTTGCCCGGGCATAACTGATGACAGGCTGTGTTTTTAATTCTGGGAACTGGATTCAGGTTAAACTGTTCTTCCAACAGCAGCATTTTTAAGTACACTCAGGCTAAGACTTTCTTAAAGGGGTCTGTGGGAATTAGGGACCCATGTCCCATTGTGTCCGTGAAAGAAGGAAGCTTTTCAGAAGAATTTAAACCTGGTTTTTAAAAACCAAAGGGATTTCAGCACCCCATCACACCCATGCTTCTAAAAATGTACCCAGCGCGCCTAACACCCTTGGGCTCCTTTGAAAGTCCCAGCCTCTGTCTTCGCTGATACACTCAGCTGTATAATTTATTTTAAAGCAAGGTTGGGGAGGTGGAAGGGAAGGCGGGAAGTAGAGAATATTTGACAACAGCTTCCCAAACTGCTAAGCCCGGTTCCTCTCCCCAGTGTACAGACCTTTTTAAAAATGAGCAAAAGATGAAATAATGTCCATTTTTTGTATTTTTGTCTCCGAATAGGGAATAATATTTTATACATTTTTCTGGACCTGTAAGCAGTAGTTTTGTACAAAAGAGATATTCTCCCCACCAGGTTGTGTTCTTCATAGACAGGTTTGTATCTTTGTCTCTGTGTTTTATACCAAACTCATTTTAGTACCTTTTCTATCTTTTACTGCAAGTAAAGAAAAAAAAGAAAGAAAAAAAAAAAGTCCAGCCCCCCCCTAAAACCTGTATTTTTTTTTTTTTTTTTTTTTTTGGTAATGGTTTATTGTTAAATAAAATTGCCTGTAAAACTCTTATGTGGCAAGCCAAGGGACTTATTTTTTTTTTTTATATGTGTAGCAAAATGTTCTCACTTTTGAATGGTTAACATAATTAATTCTTTTGTGTTGTAACATGTATCACTTTCAGTAAGCTTACCCTGTGGCCTAGTTTCAGGTATTTTTCCCCACGGTCCTTTCTGTGCCAGGGAACATCTTGAATATCATGGAAGTGTCTCATAGGTAGTGAGAAAGAAGCTGGTGCATCGTTTCTGCATGGCCACAGTGACAATGTGAGCGGAAAGAGTCGCTTGTGGTCTCAGTCAGCAATGGGGACTGGGTTGGGGGCATCCCGGGATGGTGCTTAAAAGCTCTTTTGTCCTCTCCAGATGCCTGATGTGATTGTTCACACCAGCAGAATGTGACCTGTCCTGCAGCCTGGCTCTATCTGTGATAGATGGCACGTCCCTGTGAATAGGGTATCATGTTGCTGTACTGGCTGTGGGGTTGACTCTGGTGCCAAGCTAGGGCAGAGTTAAGGTGGTTTGGGCATCACTGCCTTTTTCTTTCTGCTTCGGCTTCCTTGAGCTCCAAGGCTGTCCAAGCCAAAGCTCTGAGCTGAGAACCAGCAGCCCTGTATTCAGGTCCTGACAGCTGATGACCTGTGGCACCCCAGGCAAGTCCTCAAGTTCCTCCCTGAACATCAAAGGAATCGGATGCTTAGCTGTTCGCAGCAGAGACTTCCGCTGTTCCCATGCAACACTGAGCCCAAGGGCCCCTAATTTTGGTAGTATGAATAGCCTGGGCCTGAAAGATCCCCTTAACCTGGACCAGCAGCAGCCTCAGAAAGCATCTGTACTATTTTTACTGGCTCCTCAGAATAGGAGAACCAATGTGTCAAAGGCCACTTGTGCCTGTTGCAAAGATTGGCTTGTCACATCCAGATACTGCCACACCAGGCTCCCCTCTCTCTGCAGCCATGAAATAAGCATTCAGCGTTCAGACCTGCCCCTCCTTCAGGCCTACTAATAGAATAAATCATGTCTCCCAGCCTGCCAGCCCATCCCTGTCTGGGGATTTTCAGGTCATGTTGACTTTTTTCCCCTCCTTCCTACATCCTTATTCGTAGACATGAGCAGGGTTTTACCCAATATTTCCAAATTAGCATCTTTAAAACACTACACAAACAGCTTCTGTAAATAGCCCATGTAGCTCTTTCCCACCCAAAGGCACAAGGCTCCATTCATCTCTCGCCGCCGCTCTCAGCGCGGGCCGTGCGGAGGCAGAGAACAGTCCCTTCCACGTTCAGGCTACTTTAAATGAATGTATAGCTCAAGGAGCAGGCACAGAAGGACTGGGCCCACCCAGAGTTTAGAGGAAGAGGGTCTGTTTTAGCTTCTTGTGCCAGCTGCTGTATCTGGTGTTGGTGTCATGAGGATGGGGTTATTCAACGTTCAAGGCCCAACTCTAGGAGCTGGAGCTAAAGCAGGAGTGTCAAAGGTCTGGCCTGTGGGCTGAGTGCAGCCCACGGAGCCTCATTATCTGGCCCATGGTGCCCCTGAGTCTTGAGTTGATCCATATACTACACATACCTGACCAGCCTTGTGTGCAGAGCCTGAGCTGTGAGCTACCCATGGTGCCTGTCCCAGCCCCTCTGGGATGTGCACCATGTGTCTTCTCCAGGACATGCTGCTCCTAGCACCTACATGGGGCCAGTCCAGACCCCACCTGCATGTCACATCCAGCCCCTCCAGGACTGTGTCGTGTATTGTGTAGTACCAGCGCTGGCATGCGAGTCACGTGTGAACCCCTTGCCACTCCAGCATGATGGGGAGCCCATGTGGGGCTGAGCCCCTACCCCTCCTCTGGCCTGTGGACTAGTCCCACGCTGCTCGTCCAGCTTGCAGGCCCAGAAGATTTTGACACCCCTGAGCTAAAGGATCAATCTTTAAAGTTGGCTTATGCCTGAACTGCAGGCACCATGGCAAGGACAGGCTTCTGATACAGCTCTGGACTGAGCCTAGTTAGCAGCTTGGGCTGCTGGCTCCTGGGCTGTCCCCCAGCTCTTGGCTGAATGGGGCGCTGATACCAGAGCAGCCTCCACTGCAGCAAGTGGGAGCTCCCAGTAGCTTGAAAGCACCTGAGTCACCAGCCCGGCAAGAAAGACCCAGCATGGGGGTGATCCCAGAGCCTATTTGGAGGGCAAAGCTCTGGGGTGAAACTTGGTAGCAGGGCCCTGCAACATTCAGTAATAGTGGGTTGAAGGTAACCCATTAGTCTTCACCGAGCTCAAGCCAGACTCCCATAAACCACGGATGTCAAAGGTGATACAGGTCTAGGGGGAGAACTGGAAACAGGGTTGTTTGTCTCCTAAATCTTGGTACAAGCTTTTTCCTTGCAGCTACCAAGGCAGTGGTTCTCACCCTTTATGGCCTCAAGGTGCCCTGGACTGGGTGCCGCTCCATTCACAAGAGTCGTGGAAGGTGCCTCCAGTCCAGCGTCAGTCACTACTGTCTAGACTGGTGCTCGCCTCCTTGGCGAGGGGCCTGGCAGCGGGAATGGGGACAAGCCCGAGCCTGTGCTCGTCTGCTCGATGAAGCTGCTGTTGTCCTAATGCTTCATTTATCTCCTCACACCTCGTGGCACGCTTCAAAAAAATCTGGCAGCACCCAGGGTGCCCCAGCGCCCTGCTGCGAATTGCCATACCAAGGACTTAAAAGAGTCTCCCTTTGTTTTTAAGAGGGAAGCTAAGGGTCTGATGTCTCCTGACTCCGGGAACTGGGGCTGTAAGAAAAACTCAGAGCCTTATGAAATTAAAATCACGGGAATGGGTCGTGTTTTCTATTTGTTAACGCACAGGGAAGCCAGTGCCATGGCAGAACGAGGCCCCGCATCCTGTGGGTTAAACTGGGGTCCTTGCAGAGGCCTATTTATATACACCTGAGGTTTCAAACATGCCCAGGATCCCTGTGATGTGCCTTTTCACAGCATGTGGGTATAATCAAAAGCACAGAGCAAGGCATAGTGACTCTGAAGGGCAGCTGGGGAGAAAGGGCAATTCAGATTTTGCAGGCTCTGGTAAAGTGTCGTCCCTGTTGGGGAACATTCCCATGTTTGCAAGTAGTTTTGAACTGCTGGGCTATGTCTTGCAAAGGGGAGCCTATGTCCAGAACTGTGCTAGATCCTGGGTAAGCCCGTGGAAAGATTGTCCCTGTTCTCAAGTGCTCGCAGGCAGAAAGGGAAGCAAGTTGAATGAGGTCTTAGACCCCAGGCATCCATATGTCTCTTTCTAGGACCCCATACCCCAATACCACCTTCATTGTCATGTTCAAATCCCCGAGGATTTCACCGTCCCAAGCATCCACAATGGGGAAAATGTCTTGTCTTCAGGTGTGTCCACACTGCAGCTGCGTGAAGTCCTGCATGCCTGTCCCTACGCCAGCTTTGGCCTAGCCTGTTCTGCCTCATGTGACAGCAAGGACACAGAGGCATAGCCTTCAGCACAGGTTGCCACCCACCTGAGACCCTGCATACAGTGCGGGGGTC